CGACAAATAAATAAATAAATGAAAAATTTCAAACGATTATTTCCAAAAAAAAAATTTATCATTATTATTATCATGAATAATAATTTTAATAAAATTTTAATAACGTGTGTTATTATTAAACCGATAAATACATAATTTTAATTAATTAATAGTTTCTAGAAAGAAAATAAATAAATAATAATAATTTATTTATTATTTATTTTTTTTTTTTACGCCCCGAGGAAAAATTAAAATTTCACTCGTTTGTGCGACACGAATTTTTTTTTTTTGTTTGTTAAATGTCGTACCTTTGGTTTCGTTTCGTTATGTCGTAGTGGCGACAAAACTAACAAAATACTGCGGTCGACACATTTGAAATGTGCGGTTAACGGAATAGATTGAACGAGAACCTCTTTAGAGAGAGAGAGAGAGAGCGGGCGCGCGCGAGCGAGCGAGCGTGTGTGCGGTGTGAGTCGTGGTAGAAGAAAACAAAATAAACAAACAAACAAACAAACAAATATTTTGTTTGTTTGTGTTTGTGCGTGCGTCCGTGCGTGCGTGCGTTTAAATGCAGAATCTTTGAGGGAAAACACATCGGAGGTCAGCCGCAAACGAAAAAAAAAAAAAAAATCTCGTTATCGAAACCAAAAAATCGTAATGAGATACCAAAAAAAAATCATTATTATTATTATTATTATTATTATCATTAAGAACAATGAATGAAAACGGAAACGAGTTGAAAAAACAATCGGAAAATGATTTTTTTGAAAATTGCTTCCCCCCTTTCCTTCCCTCTTTAACCCAAGACGACGACGACGACAGGAAAATTTTTTTTTTTTTTTTTTAAAATAAAAAAAACCGTTAATGACACGTTTCGTTAAATTAAAAAAAAATTGCAAAATCAGGTACGAAACCTTTTATATTTGTGAAAAAGGACACTGATCTTCCAATATGTCAACGACCGAATTTTTTCTTTTTTTTTCTCCTTATCGTTTATTTTTCGAATGCAATAATAATAATAATAATAAAATCAGGTACAAAAAGAATAAAAAAATGTCGTCGACTCGATTATTTTACACACACACACCGGCGACAAATTTCCCTTCCTTTCTTTTTTAATCGAAAAGAAAAAAAAAATCATTCACTTAACTTTACGGATTTCATCTAATAATAATAATAATAATAATAATAATAATAATAACAATAATGATAATAGTAATAATAATAATAGTAATAATAATAATAATAATGGGAGAAAAGAAAGAAAGAAAAAAAAACGGTTTTTCAACGGCGATGATGACGTCAAAAGTTCACTAACCTTTTTCTCGATTTACTCTGCAAGGTTTATTCGTTTTGCCTTTTTCGAAAAAGTAAGACAAATCTTGAGGTGACAAAAATTTAGGGGATGATGGACGTGGGGAGGTTAATGCCAGTGGTGGCGGTGGGGGGGAGAGGGTGTCGTAGCAAGAGGGGATTGTAACGAAGAGAATTTAAAAACGCGAGATAACACACACACGTACAATTTTTCTTCGAAGTAATTTTTTTCACTTTTTAAAATCCGCATTTTTTTATATCAGACCGTAAAGTAATAATAATAATAATAATAATAATAATAATAATAATGATAATGACGTCGATGTCGATGATAATGATAATATATAATATCGATAAGAAAAAATAAATGAAAATACCTTTTGTCTGGATTGCGATTATTGTTGTTGTTGTCGTTGGGTGTGCCATAGTGAAAAAATAGTAACGCGGATTATTACCAAATACGATTTTTCCCTTCCGATGTATTCTGCTTCCACGTCACCTTCGTAAAGTTACTAAAAAAAAACAAATAAAATTTTTCATTATTACGTCATTTCCTCGCACAAAGAGAGAGAGAGAGAAAAAAAAAATTAATTTACAAAAGGTCATTTTTACACAGATCGGTCACACCGATCAGCAATATCAATTTTAAATTACCCAATTCGATTCGATTTCGTATTAATAATAATAATAATAGTAATAATAATAGTAATAATAATAATAATGATGATGATGATGATGATGATAATAATAATAAATTTTTTTTTTTTTCTTTTCACGCGTGTAAAATCTTTTTTCTTCGATGATCTCTCTCTCTCTCTCTCTCTCTCTCTCTCTCGTTAAATAATTTATTGTTTTATTTATAAATTAATGCGTGAGCTTATGCGTTTGTGCGTGGTTGCGTGTGCGTGCGTGCGCGTACGTATATAAACGCAATCGAGATGAAAAAAAAAAAAAAAAAAAAAAAAAAAGAAAAAATTCTACGATTCGTTCCACGTTACGAGTCTCGTATTCAATTATCACGTACGATAAATGAAAAAGGATAATAAAATGACGAAGGATATGATGATGATGATGATGATAATGATGATAATGATAATAATGATAATTGCGGTGGTGATGATGTTTGTGGTGGCGGTGACGGTGATGATGATGATGATAATAATGATGATCACGATGACGATAATGATGAAAACGTAAATAATTATTTTTTTAAAAAAATTACGGGGCGACATTTTGTTTTGTTTCCTTCAAAAAAAAAAGAGAGAGAATAGGAGAGAAAAGAGAGAGAGAGAGAGAAAGGAATAGAGGAAGAATTCGTTTCGGTGGCAAAGTCGATTTTTAACATGGTTTTTATAAATAAAAACAATTAATAAAATCGATTTGATGAATAGCGTGTATAAATAAAAAAAAAAAAAAAAAAAAAGAAAAAAAAAATTTGTAAACTTGTTTAATTAAAAATTAAGCATGTGCAATAATTTTTTTTTTTTTTTTATATTTGTTTGACATTTGTTTTTTTTTTTTTTTTTTGTCTGTTGCCCCTGTCATATCCCGCGGGGTTTTTTTTTTTTTTTTTTTTGTCTGTTGCCCCTGTCATATCCCGCGGGGGTTTTTTTTTTTTTTTTTTTTAAAAAAATACATGTTATAAATAATAAACTTGTTTTTTTTTTTTTTTTTATTAATTTATTTCGCTGAACTTAGAAAACATCATCTGGAGTGTTTTAAAGAAAGAGAGAGAAGGAGAGAGAGGGGGGAAGAGAAAGAGAGAGAGAGATAGAAACAGTTTCGGAACAAATTATTTAAAAAAACGCAAAAGTTTTTTTTTTTTTTTTTTTTTTTTTAATAAAAAATATTATAAATGATACGACAACAACGCGGTAAGAAGAAGAAAAAAAAAAGTCTGAGAAAAAACTAATGTGGACGGCAGATGTTTGATCATGTTCTTTCTCTCTCTCTCTCTTAGTATATCTTCTTCAGGTTTTTACATCCACGCACACACGCACACACGCACGCACACACTTTGGTCCAGCGAATTATTATTATTATTATTTTAACGCGAAATTCAAAAAGACATATTTTCAAGTTTCTCGAAAAAAAAAAAAAAAAAAAACGCGCGTGTATATATATGCGTAAACATTTGATTTTTATCTCTCTCTCTCTCTCTCTCTCTCTCTCTTTCTACGTACGCATGCGTACCAACTTTTTAAAACAAGTTTTCCCTTCTTATCTTTTCCCTCTCTCTCTCTTAAAGACAAGTTTTCATTTTTTTTTTTTTTTTTAAAGACATTTTTATTTTTCGGAAAGGGAAAAATTCAAAAAAGAAAAAATCGCCGGAGAATGAATGAATGAATGAATGATTGATTGATTGATTGAATGATTGCCGATAATATAAAAACAAAACTTCCTTTTTTTTTTTTTTTAAATGATGATAACGAAACACAAATAATCCATTATCGTTTTGTTCAGTTTTTTTTTTTTCTTTTTTGCGACATAATAATTAAAATTAACAAAGTAATCGATTAATAATTCAATCGATAATAATTTCTAATTACGGTCCTGAAATTTAAATCAAATTAAAAAAAAAACGCGGCGTAAAAATTGGCGGGAAATTTAAAACGTTTTCAAAAAAAAAAAAAAGAGAAAAAAAATTTTTGTTTCGCTTATGCTCAAATTTTTTTTTACTTTTTTTTTTTTTTACATACCGGGGGGGGCGCAAAAAACAACAACAACCACGACAAACAACAACCGGTTACCATATGATCGCGTACCAACTGTCGTATTTGTTTGTTGTTTGTTGTTCAGTTTTTTTTTTTTTTTTTCCAAACCGCACACATACACACAATAGAAAACGTGTGAATTTATTTATTAATAATAATGATTTTAATTAAACGTGTAAAAAGAAAACAACAATTTCTCTCTCTCTCTCTTTCTCTTCTTATTCTTGGCAATTTTATTTCGAACAATCGTTTGTTTCTTTCCCCTCCCCCCACACACACACACACACACATACACAAACCGCCGATAATTTTTCCTTTTTTTTTTTTTTTGTTTTAAACAACCGATAAAAAATGTTCAAGTTAACGTCTCTCATAATTCACTATTTTTACGGCTTTAAAATTTCATTCGAATACCTGGCCTAATTACCAAAGAAGAAGAAGAAGTAGAAGAAGTAGAAGTAGTAGAAGTGGAAGAAGAAGAAGAAGTAGAAGAAGAAAAAAGAATGAAAGAAAAAAAAAAAAAAACTCTTAACAATGCCGATCCGCCGTTGATTATTTTTTAAAATAAATAAATAAATAAATAAATAATAATAATAATAAAAATCAGTTCAATAACATCGTGGAAATAGAATTATATCGTTGTTGTTGTTGTTATTCTCATAACGAATACATTTCCTTATTTATATTAAAAAAAAAAAAGGTTTTCAAACCTTTTTAATCATTTTTTTTCGTCATCGTCGTTGCCGACGTCGACGTCGACGATCATCATCGACGACGTGGTTTTAGTTTCTTTTCCTTCCCACGTAACGTTTTTTTTTTTTTTTTACTCTTTTCACATTAGCATGTTTGTGCATCCATGCTATAAATTGTTTTTTTTTTTTTTTTTTTTTTTTTTTTAGTGAATCAGGTAACGTGTGTGTGTGTGTGTGTGTGTGCTCTTGACTATATTACAATTGCGTGACTTTTCGAAAGGTAATTTTTTTTTGTTAGTCGATGATTTCAAAGAGAAAAGTTTTTTTAAAATAAAGTTACCACTTTGGTAAACATCGGGTATATAAAACAAAAAAAAAAATGTTAAGAGAATTATTATTATTATTATTATGTTGTTACGACAATCGCGTGAAAGAATCGAAACAAAACACGAAACATCATCGAATCCCAAAAAAAAAAAAAAAATTAGAACCGCCATTATGTAAAATCGATTTTGATTGCTTTTTTTTCTTTCCTAGCAGCAGCATCAACCAGAACGATACGTCGGGCCATCTGCCTACGATCCGTCAAGAGACCTGTCGCCGAATCTTCCCGTCGACAACAAATCATCCATGGGAGAAGTCGTCGAACAATACACGGCTAATAGTTTAAATCCGAATAATAACAGTTGCGGGAGTGGTGGCGGTGGCGGTGGCGTCGTCGACATCGGCAGTGGCAGTAGCAATAATAACAACAATTCCTGCAGTGTTTTATCGTGTAACTTTCGTCACGTCGGTCCCACGACGTCAAATTTCGATTTAACTCACGCGACGGAGTGTTTAAATTATGCCGGTAGTAAAAATTCATCATTCGCCATCGCCACTACCACCACTACTACGCGTTTCGATCAAAAAATTATTCATTATCCTACGAGAACAACTTGTTCACCGCCTTCCATGATCTCTCAATTTGACGTCGTTCCTAAAATAAATAACAATTCGAGTGCGGGAAACAAACAAAAAACTCCATCCCCGGGTTGTTACACATCGTTTAAATCCCCATCTCCGAATTGTTTTAATAAATTGAAAAAACCATCGTCTCCGAATTCTTGCGCATTTAATACGAACGTGTTAGTTGTAGACGAATTAAAACCTAATTTCGAATACGTGAAATTTAAAAACAATAACAACAACAACAACACGACAAACGCGAATAATAATAATATCGCCGGTGTGTGTCATAGTGATTATCAAAATTTTCAACCGAAATTAGAAAAATTACCCACGCCTACGACTCCTCCGACTCCTCTTTCATCTTCAGGAGCCGCCGCTCCCCCCACCACCACCATCACCGAAGAACCTGGAATCGTAGATTGTGCCGGATGCGGAAGAAAAATATCCGACAGGTTTTATTTATCCGCCGTTGATAGAAAATGGCACGCAACGTGTTTGCAATGTTGCCAATGTCGCATCGCTTTAGATGGAGAAATAACGTGTTTCACTCGCCACGGAAATATTTATTGCAAAAAAGACTATTACAGGTAAGTTGTAATCTATTTTGTCTTATTCTTCATACAAACAACAACCAACAAACCAAACAAACAACCCCAAAACAAAACAAATGATGATGATGATTCTAACACACCACCACTCAACAAGAGAAAAAGAACAAAAACGACTTCATCAAAAAAATAAAACAAACAAACAAACAAAATAATTACGTAACTTCTTTAGGTACATTTTTATAATAAAAAAAAAGACCTGACAAACCTGATTTAAAGGTCGATCGATTGCACAATGCACAAATAATATTATTTTATTTAACGTACCTTTCGCGCGCAAAAAACCTCATCCGCCATATTTACCTACATTCGCGTATTACGATTTTTTTTTTTTTTTTTACAATAATCTGACGTCACGTCGTCGACAATAATGATGATGATGACAACAAACAACAACAAAAGTCGAACCGTCAAAAAAAAAAAAAAATTAAAAAAAAAAAAAAACGTACCTTAATATGTTGAGAAAAAGAAGGTTCCTCGAAGGGCAGGCAGGGAGGCAGGGAGGCCATTCATTAAACGTTGGTTTCATCGGTGGACCAATGATTTATCGACCGTTAAAAACTTCTTAGGCAAATGAGTTATTATTTGAAATTGTCGATGCCTCCGCGATAATTTTTTTTCTCCTCTTCTTCTTTAAGCAGTTGACCTCGGTTTCGAAATGATAATTTTTTTTTTTTTTGTTGTTAAACTCATATCTTCCGTGGGTTCACGTTCTGGAAAAATGAATATCTATTCAAAATGGTATTGAAGCAGAAAGACTAAAAAAAAAAAAGGATTGGAAAATTTAAATATTAATAATAATAATAATAATAATAATAATATCACTCGACCGAATTTTTTGTGCGTACGAGTGTAAAAAAAAAAATTAATAAATTCATATTTTTTTTTTTTTTTTTTTTTTAAATAACCGATGATCAATTAGTCCGTTAAATTTTTTTTTTTTAAAATCTCTTAGAGAAAAAAAAATCGAAAAGTATTTCGATACTATAAATCGATATATCGATTGTTAAAAATAAATTGTGACGTCATCAATCCGTTCGTACATTTCAGGAAAAAAAATGAACGAAAAAAAAAAGATTTCGAAAAACTAAATGCATTAATTATCGAAGAAACGATAGATCGATTGATCGATTGATTGATTGATCGATCGATTGATTGATTGATTGATATTTTTATTCAATCGTTTTTTTTTTTTTTTTTTTTTTTTTTTTACTGATTTATCACACCGATACAAGATTTTGTTTCGAAAATGGGTCGAAAACATTGCGGGGGACCAAAATTATTGGCGTCTCTATATATATCCGTAAATCACTTTTTTTTTTTTTTTTTTTTTTTTTTGACTTCACCTGTTAGTTTGTTGTTGTTGTTGTCGTTTGTTGTATGCGCTTGCGTGCCTTCGTGTGCGTGTGGGTGCGTGTGCGTGTGTGTGTGTGTGTGGTTTGATGTATGTGACGGAGTAAAAACCTTTTTTTTTTTTTTTCTTAATCTCTCATCAAAACAAACGTTTAAAAAAATAGAAACAAAGATGATAATAATAATAATAATAATAATAATAATAATAATAATAATGATAAATTATTGCAACGTTCACAATTTAAATAAATAATAAATAATTTATTATATTTTATTTTTACAAAAAAAAAAATCATCATCATTATTATTATTATTATTATTATTTTATAAAAAATGAATTTTTTTTTGTAACCGGGTTTGGTTAAGTTTTCTCGACGAGTAACAATCTCATCGTACGATCGAATTAAATAAAAAACAAACAAACAAACAAACAAACAGACAGACAAATTTTTCATCAAGATGGAATTTTTTTTTTTCCCCCCCTTTTTTTTTTCCTTTTCGTCCGGCGTTTGTTTTTGTTTCGGTTTAACTAATAACTATTATTACGTCACGACAAACACTTTAAAACTATAAAACGTGTTTGAATGGTTTGTGTTGTGAGTGCGAGTGCGTGCGTGCGTGCGTTTCGTTTGTTTGTTTGTTTGTTTGTTAAAAAAAAATTTTTGTTTGTTTGTACGTAACGAGATAATTAAAAATGATTTTATCCGCGCATTTATTTATATATTTATATTTAAATATCGATATATCGTTCGACAGTCGTAATAATAATAATAATAATAATAATAATAATAATAATAATAATAATAATAATGATGATGATGATGATGATAATAATGATAATAATAATAATAATTGATTTACTAATTTTTTATTTCTTATAAACGAATGACGACGACGACGACGAGGACGTCTCGCGTTTGAATTTCACCCAAAATAGAAATAATAATAATAATAATAATAATAATAATAATAGTGATAATAATGATAATAATACTACAAGACGAACATCTTAATTCTTTTATTCCGTTTCCCCCCCCCTCTCTCTCTCTCTTTTTTTGTTGAAACTTTTGAAATTATTCGAGTGTGGTTAACGAGATAATTTGAAATGATGTCAACACCTACCTGACACAGGTATTGTTGAAAAAAAAAAAAACCTTTCTCCCCCCTCCTCCTCCTCCTCTTCCCCCTGTTTCCATCAATCACGATTAATGATAAATGAGTTCGTCACCCCCACTCCCCCCTATCTCTCCCTTTATAAAGTTTTAGTTTATAAAAAAAATTTTTTTTTTTTTTTGTTTTTTCCCACTTCCCTTTTCACCATCCCCATCCATTTGACTCGATAATAACACATTCAGTTATTTATTTATTTTATTAATAATAATAATAATGATACTGATAATAATGATAATAATGATTAAAAAATAAATAAATTTGTTCAATGTGGTCGAATCGTAAAAAAAAAAAAAAAAATTTTTTTCTTTTTTTTTAATAATTTTAAATTTTAAATTTTAAATTCTCACAATGAATAATTATTATCATTTGTGGTAAATAAAAAGAGAGAGAGAGAGAGAGAGGAGGTAATAAAATTTAATTTCCATTCGTTGAATATTTTCATTCATTCATTCATTCAATCGTTGATTTTTTTTTTTTTTTTAAATAATAATAATTTTCGAATAATTATAAAGGAAAAAAAATTTAATTGCAAAAAAAAAAAAAAAAAATTGCGATGGAAAAAGATTGAGAGAGAGAGAGAGAGAGAGAGAAAATTTCGATCGAAAAAGAAACACATATAGATAGAGAGAGAATGACGAATAATTTTTTTTTTGGGACAACTCGAAAATGACAACCGTTCAGAATTAAGTGAAATAGAAAAAAAAAAAAAAAAAAATCGGAGGAATGTACCTGATGACCCCCTGCTATGACTTTATGCCCTCAATTTGTCCGAAGTGATTGACGAACCTGTTTTTTACAACAACAACTTCCTTCGATATAAAAAAAAAAAAAAACTTTTTAGCCGATAAATTTTTGTTTAAAAAAAAAAAAAACGGTAGCAAAAAATTAAATAAAAAATTTTCACGAAACCGATTCGACTTTTTTTTTTTCCTTCTTCTTCTTCTTCACGCTCACAAAATCGAAAAAAAAAACAACCGTTTGACCGTTAAATAATAATAATAATGATAATAATAATAATAATGATGATGATAATAATAATAATGATAATAATAATAAAATCAAATTAACAAACCGTAAAAAAAAAAAAAAAAAAAAAAATTTTTTTCTTTTAATTTTTCCAAATCAACCTTTGAACGATGCAATATATAAACCTTTATCATTATCATTATTATTAATATTATTATTATTATTATTATCATCAGTATTATTATTATTATTTTAAATTACCGGAAATGCCAAAGAATCAAATGAAAAAAAAAGGTAAAAAACTTTTCTCTCCGAATCGAAATAAAAAAAAAAAAAATCTCTCCCCCCCCTTTTCCCTCTCTCTCTCTCTTTCTCTCCCCCCCCTCTCTCTCTCTCTTAACGTTGTCACCCATCATGCGGTTAATTATTTACGATATTCTAAAACGAAAACGATAATAATAATAATAATAATAAAAACATCCTTTCCCCCGGTATTACAATTAATTTCCTTCTCCGCCTTTTTTTTTTCTTTTTTTTTTTTATACTATTTTTCGAATCATTCACACGCACACGCACACAATTCCAGCATTTTAAACGGGGGGTTTAAATTATTATTATTATTATTATTATTATTATTTTTTTTTTTAATTCATTGTTGCAAAAATGTTGCTAATGAAAAACAATAATTAAAAAGTAGAAGAAGAAAGAAAGAAAGAAAAAAAAAAAACATAAAAAAACATAAAATGTTGATGAAAAAAAAAAAAAAATTAAGTTCATCATTTTTAACAAATTGTTAAACATACAAAAAAAAAAAACATAAAAAAACATAAAAAAACATAAAATAATGAAAAACTCGTAAATCTTGCAATTAATTCAATTTTTGTTGTTGTTGTTGTTGTTGTTTAAACAATGGAGGAAATCGTTGTTATATATATAAACTTTGCTACAAAATATATATTTTTTTTTTTTCAATTTAATATATTTCGCACGATGCGAAATGATGACGACGATGACGTCATTAAGACAAACGAACAAACGACAAAACGGATTTTATACTCTATGGTAACTCGAAAAAAAAAAAAAAAAAAAAAAAAAAAAAAACATAAAAACCGATGATTCCTTCTTTATCGCGATTGTGTTTATAGCAAATATATTAATAATAATAATAATAATAATAATTTTATATAGGAATGTTATAGAGATGCTATTAAAAAAACCGTTACGTTTTAAACCTTCTCCTTTTCTTTCCCTTCCCTCCCCCATCTTTTTCTTTTTTTCTTTTTTTACCTTATAAGGAATAATTTAAAAAATTTTTTTTCAATTTTCCGTTAGTTATTTATTTAAAATATCAAAATATCGAATCTTTCTTTAACAACCTTTAATCTATATGACCTTGATCAAAAAATGGCAACGAGACGAAAATCAAACGACTTGTTGTTGTAGCCTTTTAATTGTTTCCCTTTAATTAAATTAAAATAAAACAAAAAAAAC